TTTTTTTTGTCACTTTTTCTAATTTTTTTTCTTTCACGAAAAAAAACTGTATAGGTGCTGTTCCCGAACAATCCGCACAATCATCCTGTTCTTCGCGATCTCGAAGTGGATAGCCAAAAGGCAGGTGCGATCGAAGCTGGTCTACGGGAATTCCATAAGTTGCTGATGAATAAGGTGAGTTCTCCTTGTCTTGAAACGGCAGCCTACGCTGATTACGTGGGCGTGGTCGGGCCTAGTATTGTGTTTCCCATGATATGATCATTGATGTGTCTTTCCTGTCAAAGACGGTAGCGATGAAGAGCGCATCAGTAGAAAGTCACAATAGTAGGCCTGGCTCCTAACAGAGGGTCGGCGTAGACTGTACCACTGAAGGATTTTTCACCAATTTTTTTCCAGTTAAATTTCAAAACTTGGTAAAATAAACCCTATTTTCAGACATTTTTCCTGACGATGGTGCGAACGATGGAATCAAACAAGTACTTCCTCGGAAAGGATCGTGTTTACGTTGGCTCGTTGGTGATGGTGGTGCTTCAGGTATCTTGTGAACCGCTTTTCAATCAATATGCAGATTTTCATTATAATTTTTTTGCTTCAGGAGAAGATGGGCTACTGTACGGAGATGTTGAAGCAGCTGTTACGTGAACTGATTGATCGAACGGTGGAGAAGAAGTTTCAGCCGAAAATCCTCTTCCGACGTAGTGAAAGTGTGGCCGAGCGTATGCTGGCGGCATGGTTCACCTTCCTTATGCACGACTATTTGAGGGTTAGTCAACAGTTGCGAGGGAGACGAGGAGCCATGGAGGAAGGGTAAATGGAAGTTTAGGGCTTTCTCATAATCGCTCAATTACAGAATTACGCCGGCAAACGTCTCTATGACCTGTATTGGGGCATTAAGCAACAGATGGAAAAGGGACCACAAGACGCGATAACACTTGAAGCTCGGTGGGTTTCAGTATTATTTGAATGTCGTGGAACTTATAAAACTTAAGGCTTGGTAGTTAGAGGCACGATGGCTGCGGTCGGGTACTGCCACTGTCACTGGTAAAGGGCTGCGAAAAGGCGTTTGGCCGCACCCCATTCAACCTTTCCGTCAATGACTGGCAGTAACCGGTCGCCTACAGCTACAGCCAACGCCTTTAAGTAAAGTTTTGCTGGGTTAAGGTAGTGCGAGGGCGTCACGCGGCGACGCGACTACGCCCCCGCCATGGCTCATCTTGTCTTGTCAGGCCTTTTTGAATCTAGTTGGGTTTATACCGTGTTTGCTGCGGAAGCTGTGCAGTGTTACAGGTCAGGGGAGGAGTACGGATTGGGTTTGGCGCGGCGCCAGTCCGGCACCCGCCAATTATTGAAGGTCTTGAAGCGGGCAAGGCTACAAATGCTGGGAAACGGTATGGCGCTAGTTCATCACGATTACACTAGCTGAGTAATGAAGCAGTCCAGCCTCGCTCCCCTTCATGGAAAACGGGCTGGCGCCAAACGCAGCCCCTCTTGATGACACGCCTCGGCATCCAGAGCGAGGGCTGCCATTTGCCGTTTTTTTCTACTGTAAGCAGTCTCAAAGGGAAAATAAGGTATTGCGGCACTTTTTTAACTCGAGGTTGGTAGCAGACTGCAGTTATTCTTTGGGTTACGGTACCTGTAATTGCTGTGAAGGCTGATGAACCAATTACAAATAATTGAGTGCGGGGTGGGGGGTGGGAGGGACTAGAAGTGGGCAATAAATCACGGCAAAAACAACTGTCTCATTCGATCCCTACTGTATCTCCATTTGAAGTTCATAAGCTACCCTAACCTTAACTAAAAGTTGCGTATTGGCTCCTTTCTAGGCACATTGTTCAGGTATTATACCCTAATAAGTGAAGTCGCTTCCTGTTTGTTCGATAAGAAATAGACACCTGTTGATCTTTGAGTATCTGGCTGTGCTAATCGACTGACCTGCTGAGCTCTTCCTCCAACCCTTAAAGACACATGGTACCTTTAAAACAGTTTGAGGTGTGTATGAAGACTATTCAGCCCAGCTGTCGATGTGTCGTGGTCCCCCGCCCAAAACTGCACGGGGCCAGAGTACGGGGCCGTAAAGTCGTAATTCCTTGCTACACCGCCCTCACGTTCATGCTAACACCATCCGCGCAAGCGCGGTCGCGAGCAGCTCTCTTGGCTTTTTGCCAAGTCCTGTATTGCGCTTCTGGGAATGCAAGTACAACGCAATTCCTATTTATGCGCATAAACACCCCCCCCCTTTTAGGTGCTGCAAAATAGGAACCGAAGATGATGACGAGGACTAGAACTCAAGAGCAACTGCGGTGCTTCTGCAATATCCCTCAGAGAGCGCGCGCATTCCCACAGAACATGACAATAAAAACGGACAACATGACAATAAAACATGACAATACAAGCAAAACGCAATTTCCTAACATTTGAGGTATTGCTCATGCTTCAAAGTCCGAAATAGAAGGTGATGAAGATGACAAAGGCTAGAAATGAACAAACGAATGTAGATGTAAATAAAACAAAATTTGAAAAAACTAACGGGAAAAACGCAACTAAATTCGACAATCGCGTCGTGCATTTCTTGCGTATTGGCTCGGATCCGGCTCTACATGCCCTATAGAAATTACTTCAAACTAACGCAGTAGGAGCGTTGCGGCCTTTTTATTTTCGATGTTTGCTCGGGAATGCCGCGGTCTGCGGGCGGCTGTTGCAAGCCACCCAGCGCACAGTGCTGCTCTTGAGTTCTAGCCTCGTCATCATCTTCAGTTCTTATTTTGCAGAACCTAAAATGTTATCCGCATAAAGAAATTGCGTTGTACTTGTATTCCAAAGCGCAATTACAGGACTTGGCAAAAAGCCAAGAGAGCTGCACGCGACCGCGCCGCGCGGACGGTGTTAGTAAAACGTGAGTTTGCAAAACGGGCGGCCAGTCCGTAGCAAGGGCAAATTACGACTTTCTCACGGCTTGCAGTACTCGTTCTTGTGGCGGTGGGCCACGACACACGCATCAGCTGGCGGGGCTGATAGTCTCATACACCCTCAATGTGATTTTGAGCGTACCATGTGTCTTTAAGATGATCCATAGGCTGAAGCATCCGCTTAACCCAAATTCTCATCACATGAGATCTTGTAGTGAGAAATACTTTGTGAGGGGTTCAATCATGCACGTATCACCGTCCGAAGTCAGGTAGCTGCCGCGCGACGCGCGGCGCAGTATATGATTATGTATGGAAGTTTAGCATTCAGATCTTATAACTGCTTACGACTGCCCATAATTGATAGCAACTTCAGAATTCTCAACCCAGTTACCGTAAAGTAACGCTTAGGTATTTAAAGCGAGGCCACATCGGACAATCGAAAACTTAGACCAACCTTCCTTATCGCGGAATAGTACCTTTGCCTAGTTGGCGCACTGAGCAGGGAATGGGCATGGCATGAGTTCGCCCACTGGACCAGCAAGACTCAGCATTCGCATGTTGCAGTGTTGTAGTGAATACAGATCAGTCACTAATAATCTACCGATGAATAAATAATACCAGTTAATATATCTGAAATACGAGAAGAGCCGCGCCTGTTGACGTCCTGCAAGCGTCTGCGAGTTACAAGACCGTTGACGATATTTCATTGCCTCTGACCGATTCGATGAACTACACTCGAAACCAGATATTGCCCGTTCGAAGTCTGGGCACTGTGATCTATTACGCAGGGTTGAAACCACTTTTATGTTAGGAAACCCTGGTCATCTAGTTGATTTTTGAAAAAAGTATAGACTTAAGCGTATATAACTACAATGTAGTCTTTGAAGAGAACAGGCTGGGTACGGATGGGTCTGAAACGCTTGGCTCGTCCCGCTTTCGTCCTGGGGGGCAATCTGCTCCTTAGCTAGGTTTTTTTTTTGTAAAACTCCATCTTCAAGTACAGGTCTCATTTTCGGTACTGCTAAAACTACCCTGCCCATCGCAAATGTGCAATACTGAGGCCAATTTAGTGCGCCAGGATTTCACAAGTTTCTCAGGTTGACCGCTACTACAGTTCCGAAATACCATCGATCCCCTTTCTCTGACCCCCAAGCCGAAGTGCGGCAGGCTTTCTCGAGCTAACCGGTCAAGTATGGCATTTATTGGTTGTGTTATCGTTAGCGCCTTCAAAACCGTCGCGCCGGAACAGGTCGAAGCCAGTTGAACTGGTGCAGAGCCTTCTATTAGCGCGAATTTATGAGGCTTGGCTAGATTTATGGCCGCTACGTGTCTGGAACCGTTTCGCAAGTGATGAGCGACATGTGTTGATGGGATGAAACTAATCGAGTGTTTTTGACGGGGATCTCTGCAAAAACTTGGCATTTCAATGAAATTCGAGTGTGTGGCAGTGTAACGTCAATATTGCGGTAACGGGTTGCTGGGACGCTTTTGAGGTGAAGAGGTAAAAAAAAAAAAAAAAATATGTTAATGTTCGAAAGTTGCTTCTATCCAGGGCCTACGCCATCCGTTTATGATCGGGGGTCGTATTGACCGCTAGGCGAAGGGTCGTATATGTAATTGGTCTGAAGAAAATTTTTTGGTACGTTGATTTCTTTTGTTTCACGGGCGCTTATAAAAGGGGTGTGGTCGTATTTAGGTACTTGTTTCGTTGTTGTGGGAAAGGACTGGCCAAAATTGCCGCACCGTTAAAATGGATAGTTTAACCTGCACCCTTCACCGCCCCCCCCTCCCCAAAGCGTCGCTAGCAGAATTTTGGGGAACAACGCAGAAGGAAAATGTCGGGCCGGGAGAAAAAAAACCTATTGTGGGAGGTTGAGAGGCATCTGAAGCAATTTATCCTGTTTCACAGGCTTCATCGCCCCTATTCCCCCCCTCCCCCATAAGGACAGCGCTCCCGCGATAAAAGTCTCATGGATAGCTGCTTTCCAATTATGAAACAGCAGCTGATAAGTAATCTCCCAAAGAAGAAAGCAGGCAAGAAGCGTTCTCCAGAACAAACATAAAGAAAAATCGCACCTCCCCTCACAGTTAGCACTGCCCTGCAGTCTCGGTGCCAGCCCCTAAGCCTCGACGATTCTTCTCTATCACATCTCGCAGTAGTTGATATCATCTAGTGCAAAAGAAAGAATACAAAAAGAAAACAACAAAAACGCAGAGGAAAAACTCTGGGAAGGAAAAAGGAATTTTATCAACACGGTGTCTGAATTTGTGATTACGGTAGCGCACCTTTTGTGCGTCGTGGTTTTGCATCACGAAAATTGCGTCACTCGTGTTTTTTACGCGTTCACCTCGCGAAATGGGTTGAATTGAATGTATATACCTCCAATGAGTAAACTGTAATGAAGGAGAGCAGAATTATCCAGGGGCATTAGCAATGCCCGCCGCCCCAACTAAGAACAAGTGAGTGGCCTCCGTCGGAGGACATCTAGCAAGTAAAGGCGGTCCGACTGAGGAGGAGTTAGAACTAGCACTTTGAGCGGCTATAGCAGCCTCCACGCTCACAATAGAGTCGCGAAAGGTGAACAGTCTTCTAGCTTGGAGGCTAGACTACTTGCACAGCAAAGGCGACCACGAGCCACTTTGATCGCGGGGGCTGTCTTTAAAAAAAGGCAGGAAAAAAGTGGGTAGGAGG